GAGACATGTTGATGAACACGGGAGGCAGAAGCAGGCCGATCTCCGTGAGCTTGAAGCCAGCCTGGTCTATATAGTGATTTCTAAGACAGCCGTGGCTACAAAGAGAGACTCTGTCTCAAAAAACAAAAAACATCTTTCAATAAGCTACAAACTGCTTCATACTGGCTTCTCCTGAAAGTCTTTTATTTGGCAAAGCCAGCTTTACCTCATTTTGAGGCTGTTAAAAAGGATGGGAACTTCTCTGGCTGCCGTGGGAGGCAGCCGTGGCTGCGCTGTGAGAGACAGGTGATGGAGGCTCAGGTGGGAACTCAGTGTCGCTCCTAGTGCAGTTAGCGTTTACCGCCTTGGGTTCTGGGAAGCTAAGTTTTTCCCTGTGATTCTGCCAAGGACTCTGAGGGGCCAGGTGCAGGAGGATGACCATCTTGGCCGTACTCATTCTGAAGTTTGAATTCCCAGAGCTTGCAGAGGGGACCTTTGTTAGCTAGGGCCACAGCTTCCTTCTGAGGGGTGGAGATCTCAAAGGTTTCTTTGTTCTGAGGCCTTGTTGGTTTTGGCAGCCTGGCCCGAGAAGTGTCAGAAGGACACTGGGGAAGAAGGCTCAGGGCTGGTGTCTCCTGTGAGAGCTGGGAGGCCTAGGGCCATGGAAGTAGCAGGCAGGTCTGCGAAGACATGGCAGGCCTGACAGTGCTGTGGGCTCCCTGTGGATGCAATGGGATGACCTTGGAGCCCAAGGATGTCCCTGTGCAGCTGTGTGCAGAACAGCTGTTACTCTTCCTGGGAACCAGAAATTCCCAGTGAAATTCTGCTCACGGAGGCTTCTTGGGAAAAGACACTGTTGCATTGTATGTGTGAGTCGACCCCAAGGCCGCAGCCATGGGGACAGCTGTTGGAATTCAGCAGAAGCCAGAGCCCTGGGCAACTGCTGAAGTCAAGAGCCAGGGATAGCTCAGCTTGCTCAGTGGGCAGGCAGACTGCAGCTAACCCTGGGTTCCCCCCATGCTGTAAGGGCAGGCAATGTCCCTGATCCCCGCCTAAAACAAGGCTCTTTTCTTCAAGTGAGAGGACCACATGCCATCCTGCCCAGGTCAGATGACCTGTCAAAGGCCATTACACTTGGTCCCAGGTTACTGTCCAGCCAATGAGACAAAAGCAAGAGTCGGTGGGGGCTTCTGGGAAGAATTCTCTGCCCTAATGAAAAGAGACATTTTAGGGCGGAGCCATACCCCATCCTTCCCTTCCGGGGAGACTGCCTCAGAACAGAGTTGAGCAATTCACACACTGGAGGCTCCCCAGCCAGACTCTGGGTTAAAAGATAGTTCTGCCTCTTCTGGCAGTGCTGTCTTCCTCAGGGTTCCTGACCTTTCCGGGCCTCATCTTCCTCACCCGGTTGCTCTACTGATCCAGTGGGCAAACACGGATAAAATGGCTGCACGGTTCAGGAACACGGTTTGCTCAGAGTGGCTGTTACAGATTTGGTCATTTGGGATGTAATGCCTAGAGCTTTCTTGATGGTCTCTCATTCATGAAGGGAGGGTGGGATGGCAGAGCTGGGGGTGTAGCTCTAAGGCACAGCACTTTCTTTCACAAGGTCCCAAGTTCCATCCCCAGTACTGAAAGAGAAGAGGGAGAGGGAGAGCCCGAGGAGGGGGAGAAGGAGAGTTGATCTGAAGATGGCTTCCTCAAGACTTCTGAAGAGAGTGAAATCCCCTCACAAGGCAAAGTGTAGTTGAGCATTTTGTCTCTTTCAGCCTAACGGGTCCTAGCAATTCACATGTATTTGATTATTGTTTTACAGTAAGAAATAACACAACTGAATCCATTTGTAATCCATTTGTCTTAGGGCTTCTCTGGCTGAAACACCATGCTCAAAAGCAAGTTGGGGAGGAAAGGGTTTATTTCATCTTACAGCTTATAAGAACATCACTGAGGGGAGCCGTGTAAGAACTCATGGCAGGAACCTGGAGGCAGGAGCTGATGCAGAGGCCATGGAGGAACATTGACAACTGGTTTATTCTCATAGTTTGCTCAGCCTGCTTTCTTATTGCACTCTGGCTCCACCCACAGTGACCTGGGTCCTCCCAGATCAGTTAAGAAAGCACATCGCAGGCTAGCCCGCAGGCCAGTCTAGTGGGGACATTTCTCAATTAATGTTCCCTTCTTCCCAAATGACTCTAGCCTGTGTCAAGATGACATAAAAAGTAGCCAGCAGGACTAGAGAGATGGCTCAGGGGTCAAGAGCACTGGCTGCTCTTCTAGAGGTCCTGAGTTCAATTCCCAGCAACCACATGGTGGCTCACAACCACCTATAATGAGATCTGGTGCCCTCTTCTGGCCTGCAGGTACACATGCAGGCAGAACACTATACACATAATAAAAAAATAAATCTAAAAAAAAAAAAAAAAAACTAGCCAGAATTCCATGGGATGCTCATACTTATTGATAGAATCCTTACCTAAGAGGTGGCCTTGGTGTTGACTGCTAGTTAGTCTCAAATGGTCAAATCCCTTTCTGTTTCTCTGTCTCTCTCTTTCTAATTCTCTGTGTGTTCACTTGAGTGCAAGTGTGAATTGCCATAGTGTGTATGTGTCTATGTGTGTGTCTGTCTGTCTGTGTGAGTCTGTGTTTGAGTCTCTGTGTGTGTCTTTGTGTATATAAGTCTGTGTGTGTGTGTGTGTGTGTGTGTCTGTGTCTCTGTGTGTGTATGTCTGTGTGTATGAGTCTGTGTGTGTGTGTGTGTGTGTGTGTGAGTCTGTGTGAGAGTCTGTGTGTGAGTCTGTGTGTGTGTGAGTCTGTGTGAGAGTCTGTGTGTGAGTCTGTGTGTGTGTGAGTCTGTGTGAGAGTCTGTGTGTGAGTCTGTGTGTGTGTGAGTCTGTGTGAGAGTCTGTGTGTGAGTCTGTGTGTGTGTGAGTCTGTGTGAGAGTCTGTGTGTGAGTCTGTGTGTGTGTGAGTCTGTGTGAGAGTCTGTGTGTGAGTCTGTGTGTGTGTGAGTCTGTGTGAGAGTCTGTGTGTGAGTCTGTGTGTGTGTGAGTCTGTGTGAGAGTCTGTGTGTGAGTCTGTGTGTGTGTGAGTCTGTGTGAGAGTCTGTGTGTGAGTCTGTGTGTGTGTGAGTCTGTTTGTGTGTGTGTCTGTCTGTGTGAGTCTGTGTGTGTGTCTGTCTGTGTGAGTCTGTGTGAGAGTCTGTGTGTGAGTCTGTGTGTGTGTGAGTCTGTGTGTGAGTCTGTGTGTGAGTCTGTGTGTGAGTCTGTGTGTGTGAGTCTGTGTGTGTGTGTGTGTGTGTGGGT